GAAGTAATTATGGAGTGACACATTATATCATCAATTCCAAAATATGAATTATGGAGCTTGGGTTCTAGTACTACAGCAAAGAGTTCGCTATCGTAATCTGCTTTCATCGAAACGTTCGCTAAGGACGCAAAATATTGTCTCCTATTATGGGGGTGGAAGACTTACTGTACTATATGAAGCTGCTGGGTAATGATTGAGTTGGATGGTCTTGCCTTAGTCGCGTTGATAGAAGTGTAAACATAGATGCTTGAACAAAGCTTTACAAATGCCCTCAGGCAATGATATTAACATTGTGATTGCGGAGGTGATACGGTATCCTCTTGGGTCTCTATTTCTGAATTATGGGACGGGTGTTCATGTGACCCTTTGTGACGAAACTCAAGAATGTAAGGAGTCATATGGCATTAGATTATTTACAAGGGAAGGATACTTAGTCGAAGTGACGACGCAAATAGTATATTAGTTGATGCAGTTTCAGATGCTGATCCCAAATCTGTTTTCCATATCTGCGAAGCGTTTCTCTGGAAGAAATTATGAGCGTTTGAAAATTCCAAGCGATACACCACCTCTGTTAAAGATTACTAATGCTTCAACAAGGTGGCAGATGGTGCAACGATAGGTCTGCAGTTTGTTAAGCTGATTAATGCAGGTTCGATTCCTCCCACCTTTAGACATTTGCATTTTCTTAAAAAGGTTTTTATGCGTCAATGAATATTATTATGAATGAATGACGCATTTTCACCTAAATAGCGGTTTTACAAAAATTTTAAAATGTGAGCGTATCCACTTTCTATAGAATTTATTCTCCTCAAGCATTTTGTTAGATGGGAGCCATTGGAGACATTGATTGCATCTGCTCTGCTAATAACAATATCCCGAGAATCTCTAGATGGTCATATTTTAACAAGATTTGCGAAGCCTTTTACCTAACTGAAATTTTAGTTACAATGAATAACTGGCTAACCTCTATGCTCCAAACTCTGGTGATCTTGTTCTCAATTTACCGTCCCAATATAATGACGTGCTTTAGTTTCCTGAGCTGAGACGCGTTCCCAACACTATCTCATCCGGTTACCGTTCAGGAAGAGTTGACAGCTGAGCTGAGCAAGTAGTTGTTCAGTACGGAGCTGGCTATGTGAAGGGAGAGGGACGGGTTTACTATAAGATAAATAATTCGATTTTTTGCACTTCAGCGAAAGCCGAAAGTTGGGCAAGATGTACTCAAATATTCTGATGTTCTCATTATTATTTTCCTGATGAGATTTGTCAAACCGCGACTTTCGTGAATCTGAAGGTAAGCATAGATTGTTGATGAAATCTTTTTGTACACCAACTTGTTCAGGTTGCTGAGGCTGAGTGTGTAGCACTGATGTCACTCGGCCACAACCAATATGTTACCATTAATCGTCATATTTGAGGTTAAATTATTCCCCACTTCTAACAAAATATGGTAAGATTCCATTTGGATCACCAAAGAGTATTCTCTGCCGCAGTTAGAGGACTGCAACTTGAGTGACAGCCATAATCGCAAACGGTAAGTAGTTCAATAATTCTAGTGAGTTCTAGCCATAATAGTGTTCCATGCTCAGCAGTAAACGGGAAGAACGAGAATGTACGGCAAACTTTTTTCCCGCGAACATGTTGTGGAGCCCAACCGTACCACGCTGTGGAACAAACGGTAATCCCTAAACGTTCGGAAATAACAAAATTCACACATTTTTTCAGCTGATGAGTTCCCCATATGAAGTGCTATAAAAAAAGTCGGTCATATCCAATAATTCGTAGAGAACGACTGATCCTGTCCGGTCCAAGCAAACACCTCATATCCCCAAACTTGAAATTTGCCCACCAAAACGAAAGTCTTCAATGTGCTTAATGGGATGATGGAGAAGGTTCAACCCATGAAAACGTCATTACATAATTTGACAACAGTTTCAAGGTACGGCTGTGTATCTATTTTACTTTTAGATTAATAAAATTGCCATATGGTTACAACTTATCAAAGTTTCTTCTCAGAATAATGCTATTGAACAGAATGAGGTGCGGAAATACGTGAAACCTTGTCGAAAATCATAAAGCGTGACAGTAGTGGGGCTCAAGATGGAAATACATCTTTATGTAGTAACTTTGCAAAAATATAAGTTGAAATATAGCCAACGACCAATCAACAGAACAAGCCAGAAACACCGATCCTGTGGTCATGTCAAAATTAGACTTAGCCTTCCTTGAATTCTTTCTCTTCTTCGCGTTTCTGGTACTATTTGCGACTTTCTCCAAGAAATGATTAAGGGACTTGAATGATAGCAATGAAAGATTTTTGCAAAGTCCACTTTTTGGTAATTTTTGCCGGGTGCTCTTCCATCCGTTTTTC